TTTTTTTCCGACCTCTATCCCTCCTCATGTCACGTAGCCATGCAACATGTCTCAGTAGCTTGCAGATTGTTTCCAGACAACCTTCTGTTGTTTTACATTTGTGGAAAATTTGGGAGATAATCAAGCCCCAAGTGTGGTATGAATTAGCATTGCTGCTTAAATGTAGAATTCTGAAATGTATATGTGCCTGGTGGTGTACAAAACGAAGTATTTTCTTATTTCCACCAAAAGATTATATGCGCTGAATGTCAAGAAATCCGGAATGGCGTGAATTTTTCTTCTAGGTAGTCTTTCCCCATGTTTACCTGTTGTTTATTCCAGTGAAGTTATGAATTTGTGGATTACGCTCCTTGTAGTGCCTTCATATGCAGACTTCCTTGTTTAGTGAATTTTTTGTGTCAGTTGTTCAAGTTTGCTAAAGATCGTTTGCTTGCCGACAGGAGTAGAACTAGGGAAAAGGAAAAGTTGTTAGATTCTCCGATCAAAATTGGCTTTCCAGGTGCAATTCCCGTCGTGCAGCAATTGTGCAGGTGCTCATGCCTTTGTTCAATGTCCCAAGGATACTCCTCTTCAGAAAGATGGTATAATCGCACCCTTTTCCTAAAAGACAAGCTATGAGTTTGCGAGTTTCAGGTACATTTCGACTGGATTTCGGAGGTGGAGTTCACGACAGCACGTGTCCGAATTGTTCTGCTGTGGCGCTGGCTGCTGCCGCAATCGGGCCGCGACCAACAGGAGTTGAACACTTTCCAAATTTACCTCCTGGCCTAATGCCACCCCCGGCGATGATGCCGTTAGTACCCGGAATGCCCATGCTCGCGCGGCACTTCTCGCCATACGTCTTTCGCCAGACACCCCCTCCTACATCACAACCGCATCCACACTTATGATGATGTGTGCTTTGTCACACGAGCGTTTCCTCATACCGGTAGCTAAATGTATGGTTCAATTTTCTGCTCTTTTCAATTTTCTGATCGCAGGAGCTTGTCGCTGTGATTGTGAGAAATGGCACTAGAGTATAAGATCAGTAGTTGCCCTTGTAATAGTGCCTAACATGAAAGCTACAAGTCTCCAGTTATAATTATCTGTCTATAAATACATTCTTCACAATTTTGCACAAGGTTTTATATAAAAATGATTTTTGTAGATTCTTGTAAGTTTTACTTAAGCACAACGATGACGTTTAGGTGCTGTTTTTCAAAGACATTAAAACCCTTGATTTCTCTTAGGTTTTCTCCTTTATTGGCTCTATGTTAAGTTTTGTAATCGGAGTCATTTTGAGGTTCTTTTTGGAGATTTGGAAGCATTTGAGTAAGATAATTCTTTGATGTGGTAGACACAGTTTATTCGATTTCGCATATTTTTGAACATAGTCCTCAATTCACTATTTACGTTACCTCCTCTTTACTTCGAAAATTCATAAAATCAATAATGTTTAGACTTACATGCCCCTTCGAATCCTTTTAGTTTTTCTGAATAATGCGCATATTTTTTTTCTTATAAAACTATTCATTAGAACTTAAAACACATTTTTAAGGCTTCAACCTATCCCGAAATGACTTCGTCAGTCTTAGTCAAGTCCGTTTTCGTCTTTCTTCCAAGTTCTTCGATGTTGCGGTTTGATCGACTCTCAAAACTCGTACTGTATGCTGCTAATTCTTTTTACTCATCTGTGCATCATTGCCAAACGGACTTTGACGGCCTACCCCTTTTT